ACTGGTAAGAGCAATGGGACGATAGTGGAGGTTTCATGTCCCGTAGTGCCTGGTTTGCGGAAAGGGAGAACAAGGGCAGATTTCCACAGCTGTGGAAGAATTTCCTTGTGACCAAATAGATTGTAAAGGCGTAATAGGACTGCAAGGGCTGACTGATGTAAGTGTTGTAAACATACGAATATGAGTGTCATCGGGCCCAGCGCCGATGATAGGCAAGCTGAGAGTGTTGCCTCCAGTTCTTGAAGTGTAAAAGGCACATTATACTGTTCTTCTCTGAGAGAAGAAAAGCCAAGGGTGCTAACTCACTGGCAGACTTTGAGGATAGAAATGAGGGCATAGATGGAGTCCTGAGAAATACGGGACCAGGATGATTGCCAATTTCATGGCAACAGCTAGTGGGTTTGCTATTTCAATATGGCAACCGCAGAACAGGAGCAGGGGTCAGGGAGAATAATTTCCACTCAGTTTTCATACTTTTTTCAGACTGCACTCATAGAGGAAGCAGAAGTGATGGTGGAGACATATCTATCAGCAAGTGCGGTTTCGCATCACGGATGACACGGCGACAGATCGCATGCTTCTGCTTAAAAATCAAGAAGTCTCTCTGTGGTTCTATTGTACCGTACCTGCCCCATGCAGCGCGTTTCAAACGTACTGCACGAGCAACAAGGCAGGAGACCACCAAAGGCACGCATTGAGAATGCCTGCAGTGATAGTTAGGGGTATAGACATGAGAAGCGCGGTTTAAAAACAGTGGACGAGGAAGCGGTGTTAAAAGCTCATCGATGAGAGGAACGAAGAAGGAACCTCTCTAAAAACAGTTAGGTTGTGAGTAAAGGTTCCAATATGCCTGATCAAATTGCCAAGGCGTGGGATGCGAAAGAGGAAGAGGTGGTGGAATATGAAGGGAAGTAAGAAAGATTGGGAAATGAGTGCTGTCATGTAAGTCACGGGGAGAAACAGGCCCAGTGAAGTCTAATGCAGCGGAGAGAGCAGACCGAGAGATGATTGCAAGAGAGAGTGCGAGATCCGAGGATCAAAAATGGTGTGCCGAGTAGTACCTGTATTTAAAACATGGAGGGGGTGGGTGGCAAGAAAGAAAAGAACGCTCTACTGAAAGCACGGGAATCACAGTGAGCCCCCCAGAGGAAATGGGGCATGGGCATTAATTCACCAAGTAACAGAATCGGTGGTGGTAGGTAATGACGAAAAAAGGAAAGGCAATATCCGGAATAGATAATGCCTGAGAAGGAGAGAGATATTAAGACGGAGCGTATACCACCTATGGCAAGTGGATACGGGCTGCTGTGTTAATGCAGTGAGTACGAACAAATAGCTTGATGGTACGGATATCAGTGTGTAGAAGAAGGGCACTTTCATTAAAGGTCCCATTCAGAGAAAAGGATCTGAGAATACAATAAATTCTATCCTGAGAAGGGAGAGATAACAAGAAGAGTGTAAATTTTGGTTCCGGTAAGCAAACACCAACAGGGGAAAACTGGGAGAGTAACATCTGAAGCTCACCCCGATTACCCCTGAGGCGTTGGTATATTCCCATGTAAATAGGGCCATGATTGGCAATGATAAGATACCTGAAATACGAGGTAAGTGACAAAAAAGGTTCCTACGGTCTAGAGGGGGTTAGAAAATGTCCACATGCGGAGGCAGTGGGAAAACGTTCAACGCAGTGAAGAAACGTGTGCGCTGTAGAAGAAAAGGAGTTGCGCAGATGGAGCGAGGAGAGGAAGGAGCGGAGGGTGGATTCAGTGTCCATTGATGGTTTTTGGTCTCTGCAATATATTCCGAGATTGCTTCAAGTGTTTAGGAATTCAGAGACGTGTTATGGGAGACAATATGGAATGGTAGGGGGAGGCTGAGTAAAGATTGGAAACTGTATTGGACTCTACCAAGGTAGGGGGGGGGCGAAAGGGTGGAGGGAACTGGAGAGCGAGGCAGGGGACAGAAGAGGCAGAAACCTGGGAGGTGGCAGAAGCAGAAAGAGGAAGAAGCTTGGTGAGGGAACGGGTAGGAAGTACAGTACGGGAGGAGGTGAACTTACACTTGTAACAGAGCCAGTGAGAGGGGGAGAACCAGTACAGCGACGGGAGGTAAAATGAGGAGGTGGATGATGGGTAGGATTAGGAGGTGTTAACAGACATGTTTTTGACTTTTGGAAGTAGAGGGGACGATTGGGAGGAGGTGTGTACGAAATCTCGTCGTACTGAGGCTTGTGAGAGATAACACAAAGAACGCGAGATCAGATGAGGCGTTTGAAGTAAGGACGTCTGAGCCGAGGGACAGCAAAAGAATTAGCTACAGGAGTGACTATGGGAGAGGTACCCCAGAGGGTGATGGGTTGCAGAAGATGGGATACCGAAGTGGGGGGGCCGTGTGAAACACGGGAATAGAAAACGAGGTAGTCTCCCTTGAGGGCGGAGCATGACGAAACATGCCATGGCATAAGGGAGACCTTCGGGCCTCTTTGAGGAACGGATTTCCCGCTCGTTAGTAGACTTGCAACGGGCGGAGTTACAAAGGGATGAGCTATGACAATTAAGGCAAGAGGCGAGGTCGATTGCAAGATGTATTAGAATGATCATCGGCACCACAGAGCTGGGCATTCGGCGATAGATCTGCAATATTTTGATGGATGGCCAAATCGCCAGCAAATTTATACACTGTTGTGTGTAAGGATCACCTTTCGAACTTGAAAACGATGTCTGTACAATAAACCTGGGGGATGGGAGTTCAGGCTGGTCAAAATTTAAAAGGCCACGTTGCTAGGGTCTCGTCTTGCTGCAGGCAGGAAGACGTAAGTGTCTTCCTTGAGGAATGGGAGATCTTGGAGTTCCAGCTGCTTCAAGAATGTCCAGATGCCACAGTCTGGAAATTTTTGTTGGACTATGGTATGGGGCAGAATGACGGTACCAACTACAAGAATTGAGGGAATGATGTTTTTCAATTGTGACAGGAACAGTATCGATATGGGAAAGACTGAGAAATCTCATGAGCCTGGGTAGCATTCTGTACGGTGAGATGAGCGGTACGCTCTTCTTAAGAGCATGAACGAATATCTTTCCAACTTGGCGTAGGAGTGCCTTGCAAATACTGTGGTCAGAAAGTTAGGCAGTATAGAGGAAGTCGGTCGTAAAGTGAGAATTTAGTCCATTGTGCAGTCTGAAAACTGGTGTTGAAAAGGTAGTGTATGGATGTTTAATCTTTTTGAGAAGAACGAGAAGGTGGAGAAGTATCATCAGCAGGGTAATGGTCGTTGGCGTTTAGGCGTGGGACCAGAAGTTGGTTACCGACGTGTGGAATGGGTCGGTGATTCGAAAATTGCCGCACCGTAGTGGGGAGAGGCCGGAAGCATAGTAGAGGAGGAGCGAGGTCAGATAAATCGAAGGAGTCACAGTCGAGGATCAGGACCTGAAGTGGGTGAGGGAAACAGCACCGGCAAGAGGTACAGAGGCATGAGTGTAGTGTTCCGAAGCCAGTGGTCCAAGATGAGGCGGGGTCAGAACGGGGTGCGGTATCAAGAAGGAGACGGGGGTAGCATGTTCATGGATAGGGCTGCCCATTGGTTAGGTTACCTTCTTCTTTTGTTTTTAAGAAAAAAAAAGAAGAAGAAAAGAAAATAATAAAAAGAATAAAAAAAAAGGGGGGACCGGGGAGGGAGAGTTTTCCATTGAGGAATTGAAAGGGGCCAGAAATTCTCCCTCCGCACCCAAGAGGACCTCCGCACCGCAGTAGCGCAGATGCAGCATTGGAACTCTTTCCATTACCCTACCCATCATGCCAGTAAACCGGCAATCGGGATAGCACTCACATCCGTCCGAGGTACCTCAGTGGGGCAAAGAATAGAGGGCGCCGGAAATCCGCCACGAACGCATACTCCTTCGGCACCAGCCGGAATCCAAAAGGTGGCTTCACAGAGAACACCCGTCCCCGAGAGGACACCCAGTCCACCCTCCGGGATATGGAGAGGGATCGGGGACATCCCCAGGACATCAGATTCCACGGGCAAACTACGCATTGCCAAGACCTCAACAGAATGGGATGGACCCGTACCTTTCCCCTACCTAGGAACTAGCGTTGCCTGTGTGGAAAGAAAAAAAAAAAAAAAACAAAGGCCAAAAAGGAAGGCAAAGGAGTGAGTGGGGAGGAGGAAGGAGGAAAAAAAAAAGGGAAGGATGGGGAGGATGGGATTAGGGAACGGGGGATTGGGGGGTAGTTAGGTTCGGTTGAGAAAGGAGACCAACAGGTCTCATTCCTCAGACCAAGCGCCTCTTCACCACGACCAGGATCCCCTCTTGAGAGGTTAGAGATTAAAGAGGTGTGTGCAATGTGTGGACAGGTGCAGGCGTTTGTAGAAGAAACACCACCCTGGACAAAGCTGAACAAGCATATCTGCCAACATGTTTAGTGACAAAACCCTGTCAACTTCAGGGAATTTAAAGAGATGCCAGAAACAGAGCACTCTGGACAGTTATTTTGTGAGACAGGGGTCCAGTGACTCTCAAGTTGGTTCTAGTGGCATTAAAAGACCGAGAAGGGAAGTAACCCCAGAGAAGGCATTACTACCTAAAGTCTTCATGGAGGGGGTTTTCCCCTTTCCCCAACACTAACTCCTCCCTCTTTCCTCCTCCCTATCTTCTGGAAGCCAGCATTAGCCTTCAATAAAGGTATACGTATAATACTTACATAATTGTAAAAAAAAATATTTTTTTTGTGAATATTTTTGTTGGGAATGAATTAATTTTTTTCCCATTAATTCTTATGGGAAATATTAATTCAGTTATCAGCCATTTTGGTTATCAGCCGACCTTCAGAAACGGATTACGGTCGATAACCAGGGGTCCACTGTAATGTCAAAATATTTAAGTTGAATTATCATAAAGTTAAAATATGTAAGTCAAACCATTGTAAAGCGAGGAGCACCTGTACTGAAGTACAAAATTTGTATAAATATCAGAAACTAATGAGGTAATTATGTCCCTCACTTTCCGTCAGTTTTGAAGTGCGAACCAACAATTAAGCCGTTGGCATCCACAAATTTGTGAACGTTTTCCTTAGTCACTCCAGAACCAATCAAAACAGGAATATCAACATTACTGGCAACATCTGAAAAAAAAAAAAAAAAAAATTACTGTTACACAGGGCACAGATCTGTATTTCAGTAAAGTGTTAAAGAAATGTAAAATTTACTAGTATGGTAGTGAACTGCTTGACGACGGGGATATGTTCTGAGACATGCATCGGTAGGTGATTTAGTTGTTGTGTGAATGAGAGAGAGAGAGAGAGAGAGAGAGAGAGAGAGATTTGATTTTGTTCGGATTTTTAACCCCGGAGGGTTAGCCACCCAGGATAACCCAAGAAAGTCAGTGCGTCATCGAGGACTGTCTAACTTATTTCCATTGGGGTCCTTAATCTTGTCCCCCAGGATGCGACCCACACCAGTCGACTAACACCCAGGTACCTATTTGCTGCTAGGTGAACAGGACAACAGGTGTAAGGAAACGTGTCGAATGTTTCCACCCGCCGGGAATCGAACCCGGGCCCTCCGTGTGTGAAGCGGGAACTTTAGCCACCAGGCCACCGGGCCCGGCAACATTAGCGGATTTGTATGCTTAGGGGACGTGATAAACAAAACACAAAATTATAACAATAATAATAATACTTCATTTCATCATGATACAATGTTTGTACAAAGGTGAATGATATTTTTGTGTACATGCTTAAAGCCCCTTAACCCTTAAACTGTCCAAACATATATCTACGTTCACGTGCGTAGCGCTCTGAAAGTAGATCTCCGTTTCATTTAACATGCTCTCAAATGTAAAAAAAACGTAAATCTATGTTTGGAGCGCTACGCACATGAATGTAGATCTATAAACCATACCCCCGGCCGGGATTGAACCCGCGGTCATAGAGTCCCGGCCGGGGGCATGGTTTATTTGCAATCGTGTCATTACGATTTCTTGAGTAATGTAGATCTATGTTTGGACAGTTTAAGGGTTAATATGCAGAGCATTTTGGGCAAACTTGCGACTAACTAAAGATTAAAATAGGAATGACAATTTCTGTAATTTTACACATACAGTCTCTTAGGTGCGCATAAGTATAAATTCTAACATATTGACATAAAGAGGGACACAGGGAAAAATGATGCTATGAAGAGATGCAGGAAACACCAGATGTATGAGGCTGCTGCCACTAACACCCCATACTGTTTTGTCTCATCTTTTTTTTTTATAAGCAGAAAGAATACACTCTAGAATAAACATAAAAAATACGTATAGTAAATACATAACCTTTAATACAGTTATCATTATCAAATACATATTATGTACTGTACATAACTCTATGTGCTGTACTTTCATACGACTGGCAGCGCATGAGACCACCATCAGACATGTGGTCCCTCGTTGACCGAAACGTCGTTATGCGACACATTATAATTTTTTAAATACCCCGGCTTTTTCCCCAGCAGGGCGGGTGACCCAAAATTTAAAAAAACACTTTCATCATCATCCACTCCATCACTGTCTTGCCAGAGGGTGCTGACAATACAGTTAAAAGAAACTGCAACATATCTCCACCTCTCCTTCAGTGCTGGCACTGTATTTCCCCACCTCCAGGACTAAAGCCCGGCTAACCATTTCAGTAAATCCTTTCAAAATTTTACTTTGCTCACACTCCAACAGCATGTCGTCATAAAAATAATTTTGCTGAACTACTCCTATCTAACACACTCATGCATGCTGGAAGTCCAAGCCACTCACACACAAAACCACCTCTAAACCCCCTCCCTCCAACTTTACCTAGGGTGAATCCCCCGCCCCACCTTCCTTTAGTTGTAATAATATTGGTAGAATTACCAACAATATGTTAGTTAACAGTACACAAGTGCAACTAATGTGACCTTTTATTGTGGCGATGTTTCACTCTCCAGAGGCTTTAAGCTCCTGGAAAGTGAAACATAGTTGTGATGTTTACCAAGAAATTTGTGTTGAAAATGGTATAAAATATTGACAAGCTGAAGATAAAGACGTGCAACTGAAGATAGCAACTGTGTAGACAAAACATTTCATAAATAAAGATACTAAACTGTTGCACATGTGTCTTAAACAACAGAGAAATTTGACTGCATGTGTCACTCAGTACTCATCCCGTACCCATAAAAAATATTTATATATCACACACAATAAAAACAATGATTAAATTAAAAATAAAAAGAAGTGAAGACTGTATTTACTACAACAAATGAGTAAACAAAACAAATGCACATTAAATCAATAATTTTGACACAAGATCAAAACATACAATGCAACCTTGATTGATTTACTTCTCTTTATAATTTGTTTTACGTAAATGGTTTAGAAAACTGACAAGTTGAAGAATGAGACATTAATCCAACGTCTGGTTATTTTTACTGTGGAAACGTAGGATTGGATTAAGAAATGGACTTTAGGAGCTGCAGCCCAGGGTCCTCTGAGAACTGGAGGGCCTCCATAGGCTGCAACCCAGGGTCCTCTGCCAACTGGAGGGCCTCATAGGCTGCAACCCAGGGTCCTCTGCCAACTGGAGGGCCTCCTAGGCTGCAACCCAGGGTCCTCTGTCAAATGGAGGGCCTCCACGAACTGTAACCCAGGGTCCTCTGCCAAATGGAGGGCCTCCAGGGGCTGCAGCCCAGGGTCCTCTGTAAATGGAAGGCCTCCATAGGCTGAACCCAGGGTCCTCTCTCAACTGGAGGGCCTCCATAGGCTGCAACCAGGGTCCTTGCCAAATGGAGGGCCTCCAGGGGCTGCAGCCAGGGTCCTCTGTAAACTGGAAGGCCTCCATAGGCTGTAACCAGGGTCCCCTGCCAAATAGGGGGCCTCCATGAGCTGTAACCCAGGGTCCTCTGCCAACTGGAGGGCCTCCATGAGCTGTAACCCAGGGTCCTCTGCCAACTGGAGGGCCTCCATGAACTGTAACCCAGGGTCCTCTGCCAAATAGAGGGCCTCCATGAGCTGTAACCCAGGGTCCTCTGCCAAATAGAGGGCCTCCATGAGCTGTAACCCAGGGTCCTCTGCCAAATAGAGGGCCTCCATGAGCTGTAACCCAGGGTCCTCTGCCAAATAGAGGGCCTCCATGAGCTGTAACCCAGGGTCCTCTGCCAAATGGAGGGCCTCCATAAACTGTAACCCAGGGTCCTCTGCCAAATGAAGGGCCTCCATGAACTGTAACCCAGGGTCCTCTGCCAAATGGAGGGCCTCCATGAACTGTAACCCAGGGTCCTATGCCAAATGGAGGGCCTCCATAAACTGTAACCCAGGGTCCTCTGCCAAATGGAGGGCCTCCATAAACTGTAACCAGGGTCCTCTGCCAAAATGGAGGGCCTCATGAACTGTAACCAGGGTCCTCTGCCAAATGGAGGGCCTCCATGAACTGTAACCCAGGGTCCTCTGCCAAATGAAGGGCCTCCATGAACTGTAACCCAGGGTCCTCTGCCAAATGGAGGGCCTCCATGAACTGTAACCCAGGGTCCTCTGCCAAATGGAGGGCCTCCATAAACTGTTTAAACCAGGGTCCTCTGCCAAATGGAGGGCCTCCATGAACTGTAACCCAGGGTCCTCTGCCAAATGGAGGGCCTCCATGAACTGTAACAGGTCCTCTGCCAATGGAGGCCATAGAGCTGTACCGTCCTCTGCAATGGAGGCCCCATAACCTGTAACCGGATCCTCTGCAAATGGAGGTGCATCCATAAACAGTAAACCAGGGTTCCTCTGCCAATGGAGGGCCTTCATGAGCCTAACCCAGGTATCCTCTGCCAACGGAGGGCTCCAGGCTGCAAGCCAGAGTCCTCTGCATGGAGGGCCTCCATAGGCTGAACCAGGGTGCTCTACCAGCATGGGGTCTCCAGACGATTAAAAGTATTCACGTTACTGTGAGGTTCATAATTTTTTTTTTCAACAAACCGGCTGTATCCCACTGAGGCAGGGTGACCTAAAAAGATAAGCGAAGTTTCTCTTTTAATTTAGTAATGTAACGAAGAAGGCGGTTACTAGCCCCTTGCTCCCAGCATTTATCGCCTCTTACGACACACATGGTACAGAGAGAAATTCTGCTCCACTTCTCTACCAGGAGGTATACTGGAGAGAGTTTCTAGGTCAGCACCCCGTAGCCCGGTCCTGACCAGGCCTCATGGTGGACCAGGGCCTGATCAACAAGCTGTTATTATACATGCATAATGATGGACTGTGACTCCCGTGATTATTGTCTGATGGCTATTTAAAAGTGGTCCCTTTAGGGGCCTCACAGTACCTGTAATTTGGGGGCCCACAGTGCCTGTGCCAGGTGCCTCACAGTGCTGTAGCCCAGGTGCCTCACAGTAGCCTGTAGCCCAGGTGCCTCACAGTGCCTGTAGCCCAGGTGCCTCACAGTACCTGTAACTTGGGGGCCTCACAGTGCCTGTAGCCCAGGGGCCTCACAGTACCTGTAACTTGGGGGCCTCACAGTGCCTGTAGCCAGGTGCCTCACAGTGCTGTAGCCAGGTGCCTCACATACTGTAGCCCAGGGGCCTCACAGTACCTGTAGCCCAGGGGCCTCACAGTACCTGTAGCCAGGGGCCTCACAGTACCTGTAGCCCAGGGCCTCACAGTACTGTAACTTGGGGCCTCACAGTACCTGTAGCCCAGGGGCCTCACAGTACCTGTAGCCCAGGGGCCTCACAGTACCTGTAGCCCAGGGGCCTCACAGTACCTGTAGCCCAGGGGCCTCACAGTACCTGTAACCAAGGGGCCTCACAGTACCTGTAGCCCAGGGGCCTCACAGTACCTGTAGCCCAGGGGCCTCACAGTACCTGTAGCCCAGGGGCCTACAGTGCCTGTAGCTCAGGGGCCTCACAGTACCTGTAGCCAGGGGCTCACAGTACCTGTAGCCCGGGAGCCTCACAGTACCTGTAACCCAGGGGCCTCACAGTACCTGTAGCCAGGGGCCTCACAGTACCTGTAACCCAGGGGCCTCACAGTACCTTGTAGCCCAGGGGCCTCACAGTACCTGTAGCCCAGGGGCCTCCGCAGAACCTGTAGCCCAGGGGCTCACAGTACCTGTAGCCCAGGGGCCTCACGTACCTGTAG